TGGGTTCACATGAGAATGGATCCTAGTGAAAGAAATAAGAATAAATTGTGTCCACAAGATCATATTGATCGGATGGCTACAGGAATGCATCCAATTTATTCCACGCCATTAACTGGAGGGTATAATAGTAACTACAAGGTCAATTAATGTCGTCTGTAAGAAACCCCACACCTTATTTCCCGCAGCTGAAATCTCTATACCCTTGCCTCAATCTCCCCACATCAAATTCCCTCGCCTCGTCAAATTAATGGAATTTTGAAGTCGATCGTCATGAACCTCGAGCTCAAATTTTCAATTTATTGAGTGTTGCGAGCAATTTATGAGTATTGTGAACAAACTCCATGAAATCGAGGTATGTATTTCCGTTTTTGCTTGAGTAACAGATCTCAACTTTTTCAGGGTACTAGATCTTTTCTTGTCTTTTTTTTTTTTTTTAAAATCCTTGGAACGCTGGGACCAAACCCATGAAATTTGGGCTAAATCCTTAAAATTTATTGTTGATTGTGAGCAAACTTAGTAAAATTGAGCTATAAATTTCAAATTTCTCGAGTCATGATATGATAGAATTCTTTATACCTTTGATTTATATTTTTTTGTTTTCCAGTTTGTTCGAGGGTTTGTTACAATATCTTGGTTGAGCCGAATAGACGATGGAGCTGAATGAATCGCAAGAAGGTATTGATATGGAGTTTATACAGATCTCTTTAGTTAGACAATTTTTATTCATTTTTTTGCTAATGTGCAACAATCAGTACTACCATATGCAATGTACGTTCGCAAATGTGCAACCGGTGTGTTTGGATTACTAACAGTTGTTATTATTTTTGTTCTATCATGACATGTAAAGACGAGCAGACACCGATTACACATCAGAACCTTTCAATCACACCAGGTGGAACAAAATATTGGATCCCGCAATGTGACGGAACAATCAAACCTTATAAGGGACAGAGATTTCAGGAACTACATCAAGCGGTCAGCTTCTACACGAATTATGCTCGTAGTGCTGGTTTCGATGTGAGACATAGCACATTGGTGAAGGCACGTGACAAGACGGTCCTTTGGAAATATATAGTGTGCTCGCGAGAGGGCTATAAGCATCATGCAACTGTTGGTCCAACAGAACCTGGTGAAAGACGTATAACGAGACGTAGAGTGTCTAACCGAGTAGGTTGTAACGCCAGGATCGGGTTGCGGGTTGATGGATTGAATGGATATGTTGTTAAATCATTTGAGGAGAAACACAGTCACTCGATGACATCTGATGTTTGCAAATCGCAAATGAAGATTAACCGATCAATGAATGCGGTACATCAATCGTTCGTACTAAATTGCGTAAAAGCCAATATAGGGCCAGTCAAGTCGCACCGATTGTACAAATAAATGGTTGGAGGGTATTCAAATATTGGTGCCACTAGCACGGATTTCAAAAACTTTACACGGGATCTCCGTGCATATGTCCTGGGGGCTGATGCACAGTTAATCATCGATAAATTCTATAAACGCCAAGAAACAAGCCCCAGCTTCTACTTCCGCTATGAGGTCGACAATAGCGAACGCTTACAACGACTCTTTTGGGCTGATCCGATTTCGAGGAGAAACTACGGGTATTTTGGAGATGTTGTGTCATTTGATGCTACCTACCACACTAACAGGTGAGCACAAATTTTGTATGATCAGTAATAATTGCATATTGTATACACTTGCACATTATACACATTTGCACGTTATATACATTCGCACTGACTAAGACTAACTAAACTGTAGGTACAACATGGTTTTCACTCCATTTACTGGAATAGATAACCACAATAGGTGTGTCACGTTTGCGGCTGCGTTGATATCAAAAGAAGATGTCGACTCTTATGCTTGAGTGTTTGATAATTTCAAAAAGGCCATGATTCACGAGCCCGAATACATCGTCACCGACCAAGATCCCTCAATTGGCATTGCGTTTCCTAAAGTATTCGAGACTTGCAAACACCGTTTCTGCATGTGGCACATAATGAATAAATTGTGCGACAAGGTGGGCTATTCTCTGAATAATGATGTTGAGTTTAAACGAAGACTTAATGAGATTGTCTGTGATCGAAATATAGAGCCTGGTGAATTTGAAGATAAATGGGCTGCAGTAATGAAAGACTATGTGTTGGATACACACACTTGGTTTACCAATCTGTTTGCAAAAAGGAAATATTGGATCCCGGCCTTTTTCAGGACTGTCCGAATGAGCGGGTTGATGAGAACTACATCTAGATCGGAAAGCGAGAATCATTGGTTCGGTCATTTCACGAACAGTCATTCTAGCTTGTTAGACTTCTTATTACACTTTGACAGCGCGATAGACGCTCAACAGAACACGTCAATTAAGCTACAACATGACAGTGAATCCCAAATGGCTGAGCTGAAGACGCAACTGTCGATTGAGAAGCACGCGATGTCTATTTACACAATACCGACATTCTACCGCGTGCAAAATGAGATATGTGCGGCGTGTTTTGAATGTCGTGTAATGAACTTTTCTGAGAGTAATGGACATATGGAATTCTCAATCAAGGATACTAATGGTATGACATTCACAGTCGTTCATGATGTTGTACTGAATACGTCTTTATGTTCGTGCAAACACTTCGAGCTGTACGGATGGTTGTGTAGACACGTGTTCGTTGTGCTTAAGGACTTGGATGTTAAATGCATTCCCTTGGTGCATATCTTATCAAGATGGACGAGGCAACCTGCTATTAATCCGATTTTCAATAATCTCAACGACGTTGTTGCACAATGTGCTCAAGTTGATGATACAAAGCACCTGGTCAACAAAGTGTGGTCGGATATACATGTATGCATGGGATTAGTCGAGCCTCATCTTGATCGTCTGCTTGAATTTTCCAAGTTAATCGGGGAGTATAAGAATGAGCTGATGTCTGCTCAAGGAACCAATACAACATTCGTTGACAAGAATAGACAGTTTGAAACGTTTGTCGGCATGCCGGCTCCTCGAGAAATAAAGATTCACCCTCCGACACGTTCCAATAACAAAGGCGGCGGTAAAAGATTAAAAAGTGCAAAGGAAAAGGCAGTCGAAGTATCTCAAAAAAAGCGAAGGACTTGCAAGACGTGTGGTGAAATGTCAGGACACAATGCACGCACTTGCCTCAAGAATCATCAAGCGAGCAACACAAATGTCAATGAGGTAAATGTAAAAATCGTGTTGAATCAGTTTTTGACATGTATTAAAATTAACGTCCCATTATTTTAAAAATTGCATTGTGCATACCATCATAGAAGCACTTGCACACACTCACAAACACTGATACTTGCAGCAAACACTCCTACTTGCACGCATTGGTTAACTATTCATTATATATATAGAATTTTTTTATAATAGTGCGTTGTCGTACCGCATATGATGGAAATGTTAACATATTATAAAATTATGCGCAGGGACAGGGGACGAGCACTTGACGGGACTGTTCATTTATTTTATTTTATTTTTTTTATGTCCAACAATCCAGATGGCAACTTTTATTTTTATCTTTTTTTATATTGACTTTTTTTTTTT